TTCTGCGCACTTCGGGACGCGCTGCAAAGAGAAAAGAGCCCACCAATCGGTTCCTGGCCGGAAGCGATTACATTATTCTGCTTCATCAGTACCCTGAGAGAGAATCATTTCATTTCTCTGTTTTAGAGACCCATTTCTATCTCATGATTCATTGCATTAAGAATCAGCTCAGAAGAAGCACAAAAGAAAGAAAAGATTCATCCAAGCTTTTCTATTCACATCAGTGACTCGTTTGGCTCGCAGATCCGGTGATGGCCTCGATCATGGGTTCCTTGGGTGATCATTCTGTTGGTAATGGAGCAGGAACTCTCTGAGCCCTCCAGATCGCTAATCTCTTCCTTGATCATATGGCAGAAACGCCCCTCTTGCAAAAACCTCACAGGATCCAAAAGGCTAAAAACTTGACAAACACTGGCTCTAGACTTCTCTGGAGATTTCATGACAACCTCGATCCTGATCTCCATGCCCTTCCCACAACAATTGCTCACTATTCTCCCATATCGCTGTGCCTTGAGGAAAAATTACATATATGAGGACGATTCACTTAAACCTAAACCCTAGACACTAAACCCGGATATTATTTATAAACCCTGTAATTATGTTTCGCGCTCTTTTCCTTTTAAAAACGTTAGTTGATTGATCACCGCGATTGAGTCGGGCAACACACAAGCCCGGAAGCATCAGCATCCACCACCGCCAAGTCGCAAACGCTGCAAATCCTCCCCGCCACCTCGGGGACGAACCGAGCAGCGCAGTAGGGGCACGTCACCGACCTGCTGCCCGCGTAGATGGGCGTAAACGTTGCTCCACACACCACGAACGGGTTCCTACCGTCGTAGTTCATCCTCTTCTCGTCGCGGGGGTTCCTCTCGCATGCCTGGAGGAGTTGCCGCGCCTTGGCGATGCTGGCCTGGTTTGGATTCATGTCGAGCAATCGCCTCGCTAGCTGCGCAGCCGTGGCGAAGTTCCCGCACCGATACGAGGCCGCCATAGCCGACTGTAAGCCGAGCCGGACGTGCGAAGGCTGGATGTCGCAGTGAGTGAAGTACGCCGCGAGCTCGGCCTGGCGGACGGGCTCGTCCCTGAGATCCTTGCGCTTGAGCTCCATCTTGAGCGCCAGGACGTACTCCTTGCTCTTGCCGATCAGGTCCTTGACGTCGTCCACCTCTTTGCGGCTGTCCACGACGATCACCGGGACGGTGTGGAGGATGGCGAGAAAGAGGCGGAGAGCTTCAGTGAATTTGCCTTCGGTGGTGAGCTTGTAGGCCTGCTTGGCTCGGTCCTCCAGCTGGGAGAGCTTGTAGATCGGCGCTGGCCCGTTGCGGACGTTTGGAGGCGGTGAGTCCGACCAGCCTCTCTCGAGGCCATACGTCAGGGACTCCACCGGCTTGAAGGCCCCGAGCGAGCTCTGGCTCGCGAGGTGGAGGTCGCAAAACACCGGTTGCAGCGGCGCGAAGTTTTTGATCCCGAGTTGCCGATTGAGGAGGCGCATTGCACTGTCGAAGGCTCCAGCGGCGACGTGATCGGCAGCCAAGGAGGACCTTTGCGTCCAGAGTTGAGTGACCGGCGCTCCTGGAGTTACACCAGCGAAGAAGCTGGACGTTGTAGCGTTTTGGCTCTGCACCACCTCCGGCGGAAGTTCCAGGTCTTCCAGCTCCCAGCCTCCCTCTTCTTCGCCCTCCTCAGCTCCAGCTCCGGCTCTTTGAATCTCCTCGAACTCTTCCATTTCGCCAGTTCTTTGAGACTCTCCGCCTGGTATGATGACGAGTTCTTCACCCCATGCGTCCGGAGCGTTTTCTTCCTCTTGGTCCACTACCCCAGGCTCGGCAAAGCCGCCTTCGAAAAAGCCTCTACTGATCAAGAGCAGCGGCCAGTTGCTGTCCCGGAGAATTGGAGATGGCGGCACTAGCAACTTCGACTTCTCAAGCTTAGGAATCTGTGGCACCTTGTCACCCAGCTCTGTAGCCAGACGCTCCGCCACCTCAACAAGCCCATGAACAGCCGCAGTTGCGTATGCAAGAGGAACGTGTCCCGTTTTCTCAAGTAACTTGACCCGCTCTTCGACGTCACCCAGGTATAAGGCGTTGTGAAAGCATCCCATCACGTCGTTTCTCGTGTCTGCAATCTTCAGCATCCTCGACAGCTTGTCCAAATTCCCGGTTATCAGGTAGAGGAACGACAGCCTCTCAAAGTTCCTTGTTCGCTGATATGCGTACTCCACAATCTCGTGGTTGCCCTGCCTTAAAGCTTCCACCCCCAGCCTGTACCAGTAATCCTTCTCGTCAATCTCTTTTGCTGAAGCAACTGCGACTTCGATGTTGCCACACTCGATGGCCAGATTGAACTTGGTCCTCTCGTCCTTCACGAAATGCAGGGCTACCTCGGGGAATCCCTTCTGCTGCAGATATGAGATGATCGCCTGTCCACAAAGTCGAGAGCTCCTGATCATTTCCAAAACTCGATCGTATCGTTCCTGGAGCAGCGCCAGCTTAAACGTGAACTCCGTCGTGTCGATGGTGATGGTCTTAACTTTCCCCTCCCTGTCCAGGAAATAGACTTTGTCGCCGGCCACCCGAGTTATGTAGATTGGAACGTCCAGAGTTGAGATGGTGCCGTTATCACCATTCGGAAGACAGTACTTGATGTGGTTCAAAGTCGTGTAGAAGAACACCCCTTTGTCATCCCATGCAGCACTCTTGATACGGATAGTCTCGTGAACGCTGCACTTGAGAGCCAGCGTCTTCGTCGCCATGACGACGCTATGCTTGCTCACCAGAGCCATGGCCTCCATGTCCATTGACCAAAGCACGTACTTCACTTGGGAGCTGTGAATCTCTCCCAAAACCGCCTTCTGTTGGAGGTCAAACAAGATCATCTTGTCGTCTGAGCGACAGAGAAGAGTTCCCGTCCCCGCATAGAAGATGGCATCAACTGTCGCAGATGGAGCCTCGACTCTCTTGGAGACCTCGTTCCTGAGATTCTTGACTAGAATCAAGCCGTGCGCCTTGTCCAGAACAGCAAAGCGGTTGCGGGCCACGAAAACGGCCGACGACCCGCTACCTTTCTTCGGTTCCAAAGTGTCGTTTCTGATGCTGTCCCTTGGGATGATGTAAAGCTCGTACGTACCGTTGTCAACGTCCGAGCATAAAAGCACGGCGTTCTCGGCTGGATTGTAAGACAACGTTCTAGGCGCCTGATTCAGCCCCGCTCTTCGAATGTTTATCAGTGATGTGTCCTCCGAAGTGGCAAAGTCGTAAGTCCTCAAACTCTTTTCTTTGACGTAATACAGCACCCCTGCACTGATTGTATAAGCCGGCCTCTCCCTTTCGAGCTTGAAGACGATAATTCCGCTGTCATGCCCTGCCGCAAGAAGGTTCATCTCGGGGTGGCCACAGATAACCCAGAAACGGTCGTGGTCCCTCCTGAAAGTTTGCACGGCCGAACGCTTGGACAAGTCCCAGACTCGAATAGTTTTGTCCTCCGAGTTAGAGACGATGATGTCCTGGCGAGCGTGGAACAGGACACAGGAAACGTTGTTGGTGTGACCGCGCAAAGTATCAACCTCCCAAGCCTTTGTGTCTATAGAACCAATGCAAGCGTTTAGAAACTAGACAGCATGACAAGAAAAAAAAGAAGAAGTTCACATACCATTTATCCTCCACAGCTTAACTTGTCGATCGTCAGCGCCAGAGACAATGAGCGGCAAGCTCGGATGAAAAGCAGCCCAGTTGACACCCCTGTCATGTCCCTCGAGAACATACTTGACCACCACATCACCGCCGCCAAAAAGATCGCTGTTCATCTGCGTGAGCATCAGAAGATCCTCGGCTGGAGACACCGTCTTCTTCCTGAGAGAGCTGATATCCCACACACGAACAGTCTGATCCAGCGATGCCGACACCACGAGATCGTCCTTGACGTGAAACGAAGCACACATGACGTAGTGATTGTGTCCCGTGAGCACGGAAACGCACGTCCGCGACTGCCAGTTCCAAATCCTGATGGTTTGATCGTCGCTGGCACTCACGATCCAGGGATACTCCTGATGGAACTGAACAGTCCGGATGTAATCCAAATGCCCCAGCAGCGTGAACAGGCACCTTCTCGCCTTGTAGTTCCAGACCTTGATCTTGTAGTCATCGCCTAGACAAGATCAATCGAAATATCGATCAAAGACGCGAATGCTGGTTTGTGGCTTACCTCCCGAGACGAAAAGAGGCTGAGAGCTGTGGAAATGGATGCCGCGAACCGGCCCGTCGTGCTCGTCGAAGCGATCTATGAGAGATCCCATCCGGTAATCCCACAGATGAATGACGCCGGTGTGGAGACTGGCCAAGATCCATGGCCGCTTGGGATGGAAGCTCAGGCCCTTGACGCGATTGCTCTTCGTCTCGAACGTCGTCAGCATCTTGGATCTAGCTCGCGCCGCACTAACCTGAAAGGACGAATCCCCCCGATCGATCGGAGCTCTCGGCGGTGCCGCGGGAATGACGCAGTAGGGTTAGCATCCAGCCGCTTGTTTCTAGCGCAATCGGACGGTCAGAGATCCGCGCTATGGCGCGTTGCGAATATTCGGATTCCCTTCTATCATACGATCAACAAATCAAAACTCCTTGTCTACAAGGTTTCTTGCGTTAATTACCTCCCTAGTCATGGAGCCGACTCTACCCCATCGCGCAAACGTATAGTACGCAATTCGATCATCAGACTCTTCAGAAAAAGAAAGGGGCGAGATTAGTCAGTGCATAGAAAAATCAAGAGACTACCTGAGCGTAGTACTTGTTGTTGTTGCTGGAAATGTTGGTCTTTGCATCGTAGATGGTATCTCCCTGTTCAAGGATTTACACAAATCATTCATGAAATAACTTGGAGAGAGCTTACAATTTCTAGGACATGTTTGAGCAAACCATGGTCTAAAACCACCCTTATGAAAGATAAACCCTAAAAGTTGAAAACTATTCTAGTATATTCGAGCTTTACCGGGTTTTAGGGCTCTTTGGTGTGGATGAGCGATGGCAGAATGCCGGCTCCGGGATGGGATCCACATTGATGAGGAGGAGCAGAGAAATGGGGGCAAATTTCCGCTTGTGCCGCCGCGAGAGGAAGAAGCTCCCGCTCTTCGCCAGGTCGGAGCACTACGGTATCGTCGTCTGTGACTGATAGTAGTGAGGATTCCAGCGATCGATTTGTGATTCGCAACAATCAAGAGGTAAGAAACTGTGATTGATTTCTTCTTTCTAGTCGATGATTGGGACTTGCCGCGTGTAGATTTATCGAGAGAATGCGTTTCTCGTGGGAGTCGACCATCGCGCATTGTTTGGAGCTCGAGCAGCTCGCCGACACACCGGACTGGCCGACATATCAAAAGTACGTGTCAAGTTTTCAAGCTTATAGCTTTTGCGAAGCTTTTGCTTTATTACCTATAGATTATCCAAACCCGAGAACATACATGGCGTCTGGGAAAGTTGCGGAGGTGAAGACCGCTCTCCAGGCTCTAGACGTTGAGACGGGTGACCTTGGATGACGAAATATCGCCGGGGTAAGAATGGCAAGAACTTTAGGAACTCTCCACGACAACGTCTTCCAATTGCTCATTGGCTTCCATTTCAGGTTAGAAAAGGCATTTGGTGATCATGTTCGCACAGCTCTGATTCTTGACATCTTTAGCCAGAGAGCAGCGACGCGTGAAAGCGGCTTTGCAGGTAGCTGTTATTGTAGTTTAACAGGATTTTGTGCTGTTAACTTTTTTTTATCTTTTTCAAAGATAAAACTAAGGTAGAGTGAGTACCAGCTGCCGCGATTGACAAAACTTTGGACTCACCTTGAAAGACAAGCAGGAGGTATGGTGAATGGTATGGGAGAGAAGCAGATCGAACTTGATAAACGTATCCTTAGAACAAAGGTAAGCTCGGTGATTTCGCACACTGAAACTGAAGTTTGTGGCTTTTTAGAGGAAGAATCTCGAGTCGGTACGTGACCACAGGCAACAGTATAGAAACCGGGTTCCTATCCCTGTTATTTCTCTGGTACATATCTAGAGATTCCACAGGTTGGCTATACAAATGCTGGCAAGAGCACACTTTTGAACAAGCTTAGTAATGCTGATGTTCTAGCTGAAGATCCACACTAGATCCTATTACGAGACGTGTAAAGGTGAGCCTCATGTAGGCATTGTTCTGTTGTTGATGTTGTATCCTTTTCAGCTCCCGAATGGAAATGAAGGTTTGTTTACAGATGCTGTGGGTTTTATTTAAAAGCTTCCAACACAACTTGTAAGTCATGACGTTTGAGCTTGCGCTCTTAACTTTGTTTGTAGGTTGCCTCATTTCGTGCAATCAGCGATTTGTCTTTGATCCTACATGTTGTAGGTAGAAGGTTAGCCTTCATCTTTTGTTTGCTGTGTGTTTTGATTTGTGTTTGTTACAGTCATCCGATGGCGCCTGCACAAACAGAAGCTGTTGACGAAGTTCTTGCTGAGCTAGATGTTCAACACATTCCTCGACTTTCAGTGTGGAATAAGGTAATCCTGTCCATGTCTGCGAAGTTACTGATCACGTTCACTTTGGTGTAAGATTGACAAAGCTGAGGACCCAGATGCCTTGAGAGCGGAAGCCAAACAACAAGGTGCAATCTGCGTGTCAGCCTTAACCGGAGAAGGCATTCAAGAATTTTTTTATGCTGTGGACACAAAACTCAAGGTTTACAAAGTTCATTCATTCATATGAAACACAGAGAACTCAAAAATGTTTTTGCAGGATTTACTTGTGCGAGTGGAAGCCATTGTCCCGTATAGCAAGGCGTCATGATCCACAGGCGTGGTGTTGTGGAACATGAGGTAGTCTTCTGTTTCGTTGGGAATTAATCAAAACTTTCTGGTTTTACAGGAGTATACAGATTCTGAGAGCTCACGTTCCTCTTGCACTGTCCAAACAGCTGCTCGAGCACCGTGATCGGGTCCCTTTTGTGTAGTTTCGTGTGAAGTAAACTTTACATTTTAAATCCAGGTGAACTTCAATTTGGCAATACATGCAGCAAGAGCTTACCCTTGATTCCTTCTTTCGCAGAGCTCTTGGCAAACGAAGTGATGGATTTCGAAGTCGCTACTCTTTGCTGCCATTCCGGAAAGCCGCTTGCCAAAGGCAGTGCCAAGCAGGTGCTGTGCCTGGCTTCTGCAAATAAGTTCGACAAATTTTCCGACTACGCTGGAGCTGCTCACGTCTATAGGAGGTATGGTTCTCCAAACACCAAGGAGCTAGGAGACGCTATTGCGGCGCTGGAAGGCGGTGAATCAGGTAGATTTTCCATTTCAGTGAATTACATTGTCTAATGCTTGGGTTTTCGAGCAGGCCTTGCTTGCTCGTCGGGAATGGGAGCTATTCTCGCAGCCTTGCTTGCAGTGTGCAAGAGAGGGGACGTTTTGGTCGCTCCGCGTGATCCATACGGAGGAACTTACGACTTGTTAGTCAATGACTTTGACAGGTTTGGCATCTCCGTACGTCTGGAAGACGTTCTAGATCTTGTGAGACTCGACGCAACTCTCTCTGAGCTCTACGCTGCTGCTACGGCCGGCGCCAGTGGCCGCATTGCAGTGTTTGTGGAGATGTTCTCAAATCCGCTGGTTAAAGTTGCGGACATTCCAGCGATTTCAAAGTTGTGCAAGAAATATGGATGCGTTCTTATCGTGGACAATACTTTTGGTACTCCCGTCCAGCTCAAGCCGCTAAAGCAGGTTGTCACTTGATTACTGTCAAAGTTCTGAGTTCTTCTGTTTTTGTAGGGAGCGGATATGGTTGTACACTCTGCGACTAAGTTTCTTGGAGGTCACAATGATGCTATGGCTGGAGCACTCGTTGGGTCATCCGAGTACGTGACAAGTGCCGCAGGAATGGTAGCTCGCTGGGGTCTAGCCGCCTCACCATTCGATTCATGGCTCGTACTGCGAGGAATTCAAACTCTGGAAGTAAGTGAGAGACTCCAGTTTTATCCAACTAGCCTCGTGTTTTCTCACTCTGGACTTCACAGGTCCGAATCCAGCGACAGTGGCAGTCAGCTAGCATTCTTTCTCAGCAGCTTTCAGCTCATCCGCTCCCTCTTCGAGTTCACGCGGCACAAGGCTGCTCGATCGTCGCGCTCGAAGTTCCAAACGGACTTGATGGAGCCGCAGCAGCAATAGACGCGTTCCAGCTGATAACGCTGTGTCCCAGCCTCGGAGGCGTCGCCACCACCGTCTCCCACTCGGCAAGCTCCTCGCATTCCTTCCTCCCTCGCGACCGGCGGATTGCTCTGGGAATCACAGACGGACTCCTCAGAATCTCTGTCGGCCTGGAGCACGTCGACGATATCTGGGTCGACTTGGAACGCGGCATCTTCGCCGCCGCCGCCGCCTCTCATCCTGGGAGCTGAAAAGACCTCGAGCTTGTTATCTTCAACAGCCGTCACAAGCATGCTCTTATAGGAGTCAAGATCAGCGGCTGGACATTCATTACAACGGAGAAGTTCTCAAGTCATTAGGCTGTGCGTTAGTTGACTAAGTTTTCGGCCACTTCACAAAGGCCATACAAGAGCTTTGCAAATTCCAAAGTTATGTCTCACAAGAAATTTGCAAATTCCAAAGTTATGTCTCAACCTGCTGAAACACAGTCACCTTCATTACTCAAGTTGTTGCTTGCTTGTGAAAACTGGTGCTGATATCAAGCGTCTTTGGACTTCAATTTTGTTTGCACTCCAGAGGAAATGCTAACGAGGCTCGTCACAAGAATTAAATACACGTAATCAATAACGTGGACGTGCCGGAGTGGTTATCGGGCATGACTAGAAATCATGTGGGCTTCACCCGCGCAGGTTCGAATTCTGCATAGTTCAGTGCTCGAACCATCCACAGCCTTATACCATTTGTTCATAGCTACTTCGAGAGCCAGGACTGGTGCACTTTCTATACATGTTGATGAGAGCATTTCCACTTGTAAACCAAAAGTTACCTCGTAGGCTCAAGAACACCTCGAAAGGTCACCTTGCTCAAAGCAAAGATCTTGCTGAAAATTAAGTTAAGAGTGTTAGACGTTAGTCAAGTTAGGGGTTAAACTGACCTCAGTTGGCGAGACATATGATCTTTGTATGAGAGAGTCTTGCTCAAAGCAAAGATCTTGCTGAAAATTAAGTTAAGAGTGTTAGACGTTGGGTTAAACTGACCTCAGTTGGTGAGACATGTGATCTTTGTATGGTCACTCTCTCATAATCTCTTGTGGACGCATCTCAAATCACCAAGCCTCTCTAGCAAAACTTTAGACTCACTTGACAATAACAATATTATAAACAAAACATATAAATATATAATTAAATTATAAATTGATACAAAATAAATCAGAAATGCTATACAACTGTGATTTGAGCCATTTTCAACTAACCTTTATCTTAAATTTATTATTTTACATTCACACACACATTAATTTGCTGCATATTACATGCAGCAATGAGTGTCATTTGAAATTTTATAATTATAAACATTATTATAATTATAATTATGAAGAGGGAATATGAAAAGGGAATATAGAAAATGTGCATATCAATTAACCCAAAAAAACCTAGCTTATATACAAGAGTGAGTGGTCTAGATTGAAATCAATATGATAGCTACCAAAATTCTACTACGCTAATATTAATATATGGCATTATAGCCATATATTTGAACTTCATATCATCCTTGTTATAATAAAAGGCCATTAGGGTTCTCTTATAGATGGGCTAGGATCTAAAGGAACATCAGGAGGAGGTATTGGTGGATTTATAGGTGGTATTAATTGTTTTTAATCCCTTTGAACGAAACCTTTCAACTACTACATATACACAATTTCTAGAGGATCAGCCTATTAAACGTTATGCCGAACTTCATAAACTTGCAATTCAACTTCCTAATATAGTACTTTCCACTGAGCAAGGAGCCCTTTGGATAAACTACGTATTGTAAGATGGGGAAAATGGACTAACACCAAGTTATCCACTTTGTACTCCGCATGTGGACAATGATAGGAGTTGTAGCGCTGTTGTTGTCCCACTTGTATGCGGCTTAGGTGTTCAACAAACTCTACTTGGACAAGTGGAAGAATACTCATCAAATACTAATTTAGCATCAGCAACTTGTGGCAATCAAAAAGTAAACCCAACTTCGTTAGTAAAATTGGATTATGACTATATATAAGTTTATATGGTGAAGAACAATATAACCATCATAACCAAAATAACCATCATAATCTAAATGCTGAAAATTCACGTACTTTGCGATCATCCCATTAAATGTCCAAATAAGTCATTCCACTAAATTATGTAAGCTCTTGAGTTTGGACTTCCCGGGAAATCACCCAGCCCAGTACTATTCCAACCCAAGGATGCTTAACTCCAACTATCCCAAGACCATTAACCGATTGGAAAAAGGGGTGCACTCTTGTTTATAGGCCCTTTCCCTCTATATTTGAACCCCATGGATTGTCTCTCGAATCGTTCCCTTTAGTTGCTTACAATCCACCACGCTTCCCTGCAAGTTCATGCCCTCGTGAACGGAAGCTGAGAGCCACAACTCTCCCGAGACCCCCACTCTCTTGACACCCTACCCTTCGGGTCGAGCCCAGCGGGAACAAACTGGACCAGCCAAATGTCAATCAACATGTGGTGTGATTCCCCTAGCCAATCAATAGAGTCGGACCCGAGACCCCTTTGATACCAAATGTAAACTTCTAAGTTTGGACTTCCTGGGAAGTCATCCAGCCCAATACTAATCAAACCCAAGAACACTTAACTCTAACTATCCCAAGACCCTTAACCGATTGGAAAAGGGGGTGCACTTTTGTTTATGGGCCCTTTCCCTTTATATTTGAACCCTATGGACCGTCTCTTGAGTTGTTCCCTTTGGTTGCTTACAAACTATTTAACTGTGGATGATAAGCATTCGTGAAAGTGTGGCATATTCCCAATTGAGACGTCAAACCATGAAATGCCTCAACTAACAATGCGGGACCATTATTTGAAAGAATTCATTCTGGATAAGCATTCTAGAACACCACTTGATTGAAGAGGAAGTATCCAATAATAGTGTAAAGGCATTAGCAAGAACACCAACTTTCACCCATGAGTCAAGTAGTCAGAAGCAATAATAACATACTTATTGCTAGCAGTTGATCATAAAAAATATCCTATAAAATCAAATGCCACCAACTCAAATGAAAGAGAAATTGTAATTGACTCTAACCATCCTTTCGTAGCATGAGAGGGAGTATTACAAGCTTGGCATTAAACATAGTTATGCACATATCAGATAACATCACGTTGCATCTTTTGCCAATAGAAAAACCTGCACAAATTCTTGATCATATGACAATGTCCCATATGCTTGCCTAAAACAAAAGAATCATGGTAGGCATGGAGAAACCGTGGAATAAAGATTAAAGGCACTACTAGCTATAAATGATTATCAAGATCTATCCCCATAAAATAAAAAAAGTTATCTTCAAAGAAATATTAAAAATGTAAATACCAAAATGGTAAGCCATCAGCAAGTGATGCAAGATTCTCAAATCTATCTCAAAGCCTTCAAATCCATGGCTCAATCTTTTAAGCTTTGTGAATCTTATCAAAAGAAGGTAAATTTTGCTTTATACCTTATGGATATTGAATATTAAGTATAGCAACTGCCAACGGTATAGAATCCTCATCTATAGATATTAGAACAACAAGCTTGTCAAAAATATGAGAAAAGAGTGAAAAAGGAAAAGGAGTTCAAGAAAGGGCATCAACATCAACTATAAAACTCCCTAGGCGATGAACAACATCAAAATTATAGAAAACCATATAAATATATATAAAGTTTCTAGAAACCCTAAATTGTTGCTAAACACTCTTTTGTCGTGAAGTAGTTTGCATCTACTAGTTGTAATATACGGCTTATATATACAATAGGATAGCACTAATTAAGCACACTCAGGCTCTCTTGCATCAACACACCTCTAAAATTAATATCAAAAACATCCATGTGCAAAATGAAAAGTTGAGTGTAGTCAAGATACACCAAAACTAGAGGAATCGTCAATAATTCTTTGAAATCTATAAATGCTCATTCACAGTCCGCAAACTAGATGAAAAATGACATTGATAACTTCAGCAATGCTCGCAATGGTGTAATGTGATCAGAAAGATGATCCACAAAACAACCGAAATACTGCATGTTGCTTAAGAAGCATTGCATATCATTCACACACTTCGGAGTAAGAAACTTTAAAATAGCCACAAATTTATTAGGATCAACTTACAAACCTTCACGAAAAATATGGTATCCAAGATAAGTTATGTCCTTGGACCTTGGACTAAACATGCACTTTGACTACTTCAACTTTAAACCAACTTCTCATACCCAATCCAACACTTTATAAACATTATGGATGTATTCCTCTTACGTCCCCTCCGAGTAAATCAAGATATCATCAATGAAGTTAGTAATTATCTCCGGCATATTGCAAAACATCTCATCCATCATCCACTGAAAAGTCATTAAAGTACCAAATGGTGTACAAACCAAACGGTGTATGAAAAATAATTTTAGAAATATCTTCTTCTGCTATTAGTACTTGCCAATACCTAGAAGCAAGATTGAGCTTGGTGAACTAATAACTTCTCCCTAGACGATCCAAGAGATCAATAGTGTGAGGAAGGGGGTACACATCTGGGATCATCACTTCTTTTAATAAATGATCGTCGATGTAGAAATAAATACTAACATCTCCTTGATGTTTGCACATAAAATCTTGATCTTTTTTAGTGACCGATAATGAATAGAAACCTTGATTAAACGAGCATCCCTAGTTGAAATCAGATGACATGTGGCAATCTTGACCTCAGATGATAGGTTAAAGTCAAAGAGATCGGCATACTCCATGAGGCGGTCAACTGCTGCAACATAAAGACTATCAAAGGGATCAGAAAAGGGAAGAGCAAAACAAAATAGAAATATAAGAGGAAGTAATAGAGAGATAAAAGTAATAGAAGCAAAGGTAGAAGCAAAGGGACAAAGAAGTCCAAAAGTGAAAGGACTTGATGAAATATAAGGAAGTATGAGATAAAGAGGAGAAGCCTCAAAGTCACATTTGGCATGATTGCATTGCAACTAATCCATACCAAATATGAGGTCAAAAGCTTGACTCGACACTATCCATAATGACTGCAACCCAAGCTTGAGATCGCCCATATGCACAACAAGGTCCACTTCATCCCATGCACATGCATGTGTACGGGTGTCGCCATAAAGAATGAAAACTAGCTCTATTGTACAATGCAAATGTAGATAGCAATGTATGGCTATAGGTCGAGCAATAAAAGATAAACTTAAACATGTATTAACCAACACAGAGAGAATAATAAGAGGCCTCTTGTTATAAAAACAAGCTTGGAAAGTAAATACTAGATGAATTGGTGCCGAGTGAACCCTTTGATGATACTCCTAAAAGAAAGATAGAAGGGTCATAAACTTATTTGCAAGATCCTTCCATTACTCATATGACTCCTTATTTCCTAGATGCATCTTGGTGTCTAAACCTTCCACTACAGCAACATCAATAAAATGTTATTGACACCAAGGTCTTTACACAGGATATG